TCTCTCCAGTGGTAGTGGCTGCTGGTATGTTGTGAGGTGTCTGTCAGCTCTTCCAATGAGCGTGCATCTTATGTGTGTGTGTGTGTATATGTGTGTGTGTGTGTGTGTGTGTGTGAATGAGTGTTTTGCCTTCATTGGGAAGAGCAGCAGTGTTCTTAACTGCTGAGATATTTCTTCAGCCCGACTTGTCTACCTTGTCCTGTGTGTTCCGAAACTGTTACTTTCGCGTGCACTGTGTATTTCCAAGTACGTTCTGCTCGAGTGGTCCCCCTTGCAGTATCATTTCCTGAGGGGCTAGGAATCCCTGGCTGGGAATGCAGTCTGCTCTATTTCCCTGGAGTCTTCGGGTTGTGTAATTAGGTTGCTGACAAATTTCCCAACACTTAGAAACTGCTGCAGGGGACACTTCTGGGCCCAGATCACTGCTCAAACAAGGGAGAAACACATTCATCTTTAGAGAAAAGCCCTAAGTTTTATAGCCCCTTTGGAACTAGGATTCAGGTCAGGCCCCCCACCGACTGCCCTGCTCCACCCTCTCTGCATTGCTCCAGCTGTCCAAGCAACTGGGTCTCATACTAACCCTTTTTGGGGTATGTTGACCTTTTGGGAAGGTACTGGGAGGTGACGTCTACCTTTCTAGAATGTTCTCAGGGCAATCCTCACTGGTTTGGGGCTGGTGTTCAGAGCTACATAGCCCCCAGGATCCTCTCAGGCATTGGCCGTGAGTTCTGTGCTGAGAAAAGTAGGGCTCTGGCTTCAGGACGAGCACACTGCACCTCTGCTGCGTCTACTTTGCTGTGGCCACAGCCCTTTGGTAGGACCCTGCACCTGCCAGGACCAGAATGCCCAGACTGGCGACAGGGGCAGGGCCTGCTTCCTATGGCTGGAGTAGGGACAGTTCTGTCACTTATGGGCAGAATGGTAATTTTATTATTGAGGTAATTTTGTCATCTGCCTGCTGCCTGCCTGGTACTTTGGCCTGGGCAAGATTTTTAAACCTAAAACTCCAAGTCTGATTGCTGGTTCTTAGGTTGCTCGGGGCTCACAGGACAGATGTCATTTATTGCTTGGTAGAAGGGAAAAGCAGACTTGCTGAGGCCTCCTCTGGAGATAGCTCTCCCGTTGATCCAGGGCTGCCTCGAGAGCCCCTCTCTGTTCCTCGGGTCCTTTCCTGCTCATTCTGTTTTGCTGTCCAGCTGGAAGGTACTGATCTGTGGGCATTCTTTTGGGTGCTCTGTCCCTGCAAGGTGCCCTCGAGGTGGACAGTCTGGATGTGTGTTCTGGCCCTTTCTCTGACTTTGACCCAGTTTGTAGTGGGATCAACGTCACCTGTTCTCTAGAGACATGCACACATTCCCACCACATAGAACCTCAGCTATAAATGTAGATCCTTGGACTGCAGACACAGTTGGGTGGGTGGGCTAGGATGGGATGGGGGTCTGCCTTCTGTCGTGTGTGTGGGGTCTGGCAGGCTGCTAGTATCTGAACGTTTGGACTTAGAGCACCTGTGTGTAGGGTGGAGCCAAGATTTGCATCTAGGATCCAGACCCTGCCTGTCACTGCATCCTCTAGACTGCTCACCCCTTCCTTTAGTGCCCACTGCGTGTGTTTGGGTATCAATGAACAGCCCAGCGAGCCCAGTGTCTGGGGGTTAGCTGTGCAGTTGTTTCTGTAGCATGGCTGTTCTCACGGGACTTGACCTCTCCTTCCTGCTCCCTGTTTGCCCCCAGCACACACCACTAGCTAGGCTTGAGTTCTGAGGTGGGCTAGTGAAAGCCCCAAGGATGGAGCCGGCTGTCTGAGGAGAACGGGGAGGAGTGGTGGGTGTCTCCGTTTGTTATCAGGGACGCAGCTGGGAGGCGGAAATGAAAGTTGGGAAAATGTCATCATTTGACATTTTCGTGCTCAGAAGTCCCCAGGGTCCCTGGCAGGGAGGCTTTTGATGGTCAGCCGAGAGTGTTAGCCCTGGGGACACCTGGCTGTCTAATCTCAGAGCTGGAAGCCACATGGAGTAGCACGGTGGGGGTGGGAGGTACTGGATGCTTTTCCTGTGTGGCAAGAGCTGGCTCTGCTCTTACCCTTCATCAAGCTCCACATGAAGCCCCCAGCCCCATGTAACCATAGGTCTCTTGGGGTCCTGTATATGTCTCTGAGGACACTGCCTGGGGTCATGAGTCAGTTTCCCCTCCCTACACAGATGCCACATGGTGGGCACATAGCACATTAGGATGGAGGGAATTACCCCAACATAGTTGGTCATGTTTAAGCAATGGAAGGAGCTGTCTGCCCTGCCTCCTGCCGTGTCTCCAAGTCCTCTCCAATCTGTTAATGGTGACTTTGGTCTTACAGTAAGATATGTAAACCCAGGGCCAGGCTTAGAGCAGCTGCAGGAGCAATACCTGTCTTCTGTCAGGGTACACATGGATGTGGAAGACCTGTGTCTGTCTGCCTGTAGGCGGTCATGGTCTCCACTTGTGGGAATGAGGCCTTGGCTGTTGAGTCTGGGCTGGCAAACAGGTGTGGTTTTCTGTACTGTGGCTGACTGATGGTTGGTGCTATCTTAGGAGTCTGCTAACGTTGCCTTGCCTCTGTTGGCTCATAGGAAAGTGTATATCAATTGGTTAGCAATACCTGCCTCGGAAGGCGTTGTGGACAGAAAGTTTCTGTCCCGCCTGGGCCTGCAGCCGTACAGTCCCAAAGAAACACACAGAGGTCTACATTAATCATAAACTGGTTGGCCTATTGGCTCAGGCTTCTTACTAATTAATTCTTACATCTTAAATTAGCCCATTATTCTTGTCTTTGTTAGCCACGTGGCTTGGTACCTTTTTTCAGTGAGGCATTCTCATCTTGCTTTCTCTGCATCTGGGTTACAACTGCAGACTCAGCCTTTCCTCTTGTCAGTCCTTTTCTGGTAGTCCTGCCTACACTTCCTGCCTGGCTACTGGCCAATCAGCGTTTTGTTAAAATACAAGTAACAAACTCTTTACAGGGTACAAGACCATTGTCCCACAGCAAGGCATGAGAAGGGCAGTGAGTGTGCCATTGGCCAGCCTAAGTGTTGTTTTTTTTTTTTTTTTTTTTTTTTTGGTTTGTTTGTTTTCGTTTTCTGAGACCAGGTTTCTCTGTGTAGCTTTGGAACCTGTCCTGGAACTCACTCTGTAGACCATGATGGCCTTGAACTCACAGAGATCCACCTGCCTCTGCCTCCCTAGTGCTGAGATTAAAGGTGTGCACCACCACTGCCTGGCTTTGCCTTAAGTTTTATTCCCCCTAAATATTTAGAGCCTTTTAAAGCCAAAACTAATAACAAAAGCCGTTTTGCTTGTTATTTGTAAAAGGCCCCTTGTAGAGCCGGCTGGTGGGGGCCACGACTGGGCCAGCTGCATATCAGCCTTTGAGACTTGTCTGAGCAAACACAGAGGACCCCAGTTATTCCCCATCATAACTTCCCCGAGTGTCAGCCCCTGAAATATAGACACTGACAGGAGGCCCAGACATACACTCAGCTGTGGACGGAGCCCACCACCCACTGTGCATAGAAAAGGCCTTTGCTGTGGTGTTTTTCCTTTGAAAATTGCTGCTGAGTGTGGAACAGCCTAAAGGAACCCCGGGGAGTGCGTTCCTGCAGGGGTCTTTGTGTAAGTGAGCACATCTCTCTTTTCCTGCTTACTAACTGTGCGCAGTGAGATGGTGAGGCTGGGAATCCAATGGGGTAGCATGTGTGACACCCTCTGAGCTCAGTTTCCCAGGACAGCCAGGGCCTGGTGTTCTGCAGAGTGAGCCGTGGCTCCCAAGACCCTTTTCCCGATTCTCTTCCCCACCCCAAGTGCACATGTGCACACAGGCATGCGCATAAAGCACACTCGAGAGCTTGTAGCACACACATGCAGGCACATACGAAAATGTAAGTAATATACATAACACGGTTGTGGTCATTTACACCCCTAGGATACATAGGAGCCTTCATGGACACACGAACTTGGCTGACACGTGTGGTAGTCTCAAGGTTCAGGTTTGTGCCTGGTGCCTGCTATCACGCATGCTTGGCTCCCGCCCGTTCTGTTGATAAACTGTGAACAGCTTCTCCTTCTGTCCCTTTTTATGTCACACTCTTTATTCCTGGGCCAGCCGTTTCCTTCTCCCTTCCCTTAGTTTCTTAGTATTGATCCATGGAGTCTCCAACTGTGGCCCGTCTCACCTCCCCGTGCTTGCTTTCCGTGAGTCCCGATGAAGCTCTGTGAACTAACAGAGGCATTGAGGTTGGGAGAGCTACCTGTCCAAAGCTCCTGGCTGATTAGGGCTGGACTGGGTTGCTTGGGCTGAGGAATACCCATTGCTGCTTGCCTTAGGTTTTGAGGAATCTGTCAGCCTGGGGAATCCATGTGGCTCAGTACCTGGACCTTTGGGAGCCGGTGTCTGTTGAGATGTCAGGCATGGGACTGGGGCTTGCAGCAAGCACTATGCATGGATGTTTGTGTCCGTGTGGCGCCACAGCTATGGTGTGGTTATGGTCAGTTGCTGGACCTCCGTTTCTCCATCTCCAAGATAGGTTTGTCTTTACTGTGGACATGGGCTGCCACTAGCCATATAGACCCTTTAGTATAGCAGCACTGGATGAGCCTTTTGTAGGTGTGACCTCAGTTAAGACAGACCACAGCAACCCCAGTGAAGCATTTCTTCCCCATGCTAAAAAAAAAAAGCAGTTTGTGGGTTCGTAGCTGACCAGGGGTTGGTGAAGGAGCACAGTCACATGAATGGGAACCCATTCCTCCCTGAGGCACCCTACCATGAGCACGGCAGCTCTCATCAAATATTAACGTGGCCAAATGACAGATTTCATGGAGTAAACACCGCACAGGTGCTGAGCCCGGAAAGCTCTGTGTCGTTCTTACGAGGTGCTGTTAGTTAACAGTTTCCACGCTTGCAGAACGCTTGGTGCTGTTTGCGATGACTTCCTGGTGGGCTGATGTTACAGAACTCTCTCTTCTCTTCCCCAGGTCATCTCTGCCGTGTCCCGACTCTCTCTGCACAGCATCGCGCAGAACAAAGGGATCAGGTGAGTTCCACAGTGACGCCGGGAGGGCAGGCCCTTTCATCTTGATGCGATCAACGCGTACTGGAGTTGTATAGACATCCTCTTCCTGAACCAGGCGCTTTCACAGCGCACTCTGGCTGCGTATTGTCAGCGGTCAAGGTTGTGTGGAAGGGGGGGCCTCTGGGTTCACACCAGGGAAATCTTGCAAGCGTGTTACTGACAGCTGCAAAATCGCTTTCGATTTAGGTAATAAGATCAGCAAATTAACCCTCCACAGATCATTGCCTACCTGAATGCACCTCTCCAGCTCTGGATCAGGGTCCTGGTTTGAGTGCTGGAGCTGGTGTAAGTTTACAGGGATGGGTCCGGAGTGCAGAGCGCTTCTCTACCCACAAGCCTTAGGACTCCAGTAACCCCTATAGGCTGTCACGTTCCGATGAACTGCATGGACAACACTTTCGCTGCTGATGCTTCTGAGGCCAGCAGCTCTATCTCTGATTCATGGGTGGGGTGCAGGGGGAGGGCTGGGTGGTGCAGCTGAGACCTGGTCATTGCAGGTTTTGACTTCTGATGGTACAGGTCAGGGAGATAGGTCTTAGGTCACCTGGGGACATCCACGAGCTCTCCTTTCCTGCTATATCTGAAGGCTCCCTGATGATACAGGCCAGTGACGGGGTAATGGAATGGCCCCCCTCCTGAGAGCTGAGCATGCAGCCACCCTGGGTACAAGTGACATCCTGTGGGTATTGCGTTGGTGTACTCTGCTTTGACTGTACATGTCTGTATACACACGCCGGGCCCTGGGGTAGCACAATGTCCCTTGGTTGGGGTGTAGCTGTTGGTTCATAGCTCAGGTGTCATGTCAGTGCGTCCATGAGACCTTTGTTGCGTGGCTTCTTCAGGACTTGGAAGCTCCTTTGCATCAAAGTCTTTTTCTTTTTGTTAGCCGGAAGACAGGCTGTTTTAAAATGTTTTCTTTGCAGTGCTTCTACGGTTATAGCAGCAAATGGCTGAGGGCTGATGAGATTACGGTATATACTCTACTTGAAGCTTAAGGCAGGTTTAAGAGTTAAGGCCAGCCTAGGCTACATCAAGGCTAGCCTGGGTTACATTGTGCGACTTCTATCAAAAGTGACAGCAACAACAAAAACAAACTTTAAGTAGCTTACTAGAGATGGGCGCTGGCCAGCTTGTTACAGCAGCCCATGCTGGCAACCAGCTTGGGGTTTTTGGACTCAAAGGTCATGCAGATCTGCTGGACCTGGGTCCGGAGAGTCCTGGTGATGGGCTAAGCCTGACTGCACCCAGCTGGGTTGTCCCAGAGGAGCCGAGAATTGAAATGCCTCATGGAACCACCACCCTGGCCTTCAAGTTTCACCGTGGAGTCATTGTTGCAGCTGATTCCCAGGCCACAGCAGGCGCTTACATTGCCTCCCAGACAGTGGAGAAAGTGATAGAGATCAACCCTTACCGTCTGGGCACCATGGCTGGGGGTGCAGTTGATTGCAGCTTCTGGGAGCAGCTGTTGGCTCAGCAATGTAGAATCTGTGAGCTTTGAAATAAGGGACGCATCTCTGTCACAGCAGCCTTCAAATTTCTTGCAACATGGTGTATTAGTATGAAGGTATGGGGCTGTCCATGGGCGCCATGATCTGTGGTTGGGATAAGGGAAGCCACAGCCTCTACTATGTAGACAGTGAGGGGAACCAGATCTCTGGAACTGCCTTCTCATTGGATTCGGGCTCCATGTGTGCTTATGGGGTCATGGATCCAGGCTACTCCTATGACCTAGAAGTGGAGCAGGCTTATAATCTGGCCCACCGAGCCATCTACCAAGCCACCCACAGAGATGCCTACTCTGGAGGTTCAGTCAGCCCCTACCACGTGCGGGAGGATGGCTGGATCCATGTCTCTAGTGACAATGTTGCTACTTACACAAGGATAGTGCACCTGTCCTCTGATGGAAAGCAGACATGGCCATCTGCACGTGTTGGGGGCTCCCATTGGTTATAATAAATAATAGCACCCTCCAAAAAAAACCTTTAAGTAAAAGCCAAACAGTAATAACAAGTGGCGTCCCCTCAGCACACTGGTCTTTACACAGCAGTGCACACCTGCAGAGCGCCTGGCCCCGCCCTGCTGTAAAGTCCTTAAGAGGCTCCACTTAAAGACGTCCAGTTAAAAAAGTGCCATTTCTGGACACAGTGACACATGGTTTGCAGCTATTTGCTTTGGCAACTGAGCAGTTGTGAGTTCTTTGCCGTGCTGACCCGTCACTGTGATGGTCCTCGTCACAGCTGTGCGTCCCACCTGGCTCAACACACTCTGCATTGTGTATCCACAGACAAAAGTGACATTCTCTCAACAGATTCCAGCCAGCGTTCGTACCCTGTGCAGAATCCTAAGTGTGTCCCCCCCCCCATCTTATTATAGTAGCCCCAAACTGGAGGGAGGCCAGCTGCTGTGGCCTGCTGTCAGCCAAGTGTGATCCAGCTGCCATTCCCTGCCCTTCGAGACCGAGGTGCCCCATGGACAGTGCGGATGGCCTTTTCCTGGGGTTTTGTTCTTGGCAGTGAGACCCTGGTGGTGGTTTACAGAGTAGCTCAGACTGTGGAGAACTGCTCAAGGGTTGTGCTCTCCCTAGTTAGCGTGGAAGCATCCCTCTGCTTCCATGATTGAGCAGGGGCCTCGCGGGATGCAGGAAAGTTTGAGTTCATAGCCACAGCCTAGGAGCCACAGTCAAGGAGCTGTGTTAGCAGATGAGGGAGGAGGGTGCAGGGAGGCTGGCCAGTGTCTAGGAGAGAGTGACCATGGGCTCCTCTGTTAGCAGAGTCAGCTGCTCACTGTGATACCAGGCTGGAGCATGGCCCCTTGGGAGCCCACCAGGCTGATGGGTCTGCCGCGGTAGTCGGTCATGGGGACACTTCAGCCACTTAATCCTAGTCCTCGCTACTCTACTGATACCGTGTGGCCTAAAGCCCCACCCTAAAACCTGCAGGCTTCAATGAGTGTGCCAGGGGACTTTACCAGACTAAGGATTGATGGGTGAGAAGTCACCTCTGGAGCTAGTAGGAGCCAAGCCTTCTTTTGGAGCACAAGTTTGTTTCACCAAGTATACTGAATCACCCTTTTACTGAATAGAGTATAGGGACAGGTGGGAGGCCAAAAAATGAGGGAGGAGGGCCGGCAAGGTGGTTCAGTGGGTAAAGGCACTTGCCACCAAACTTGAGGACCTGAATTCAATCCCAGGACTCAAAAGGTAGAAGGGGAGAACAGACTTCTGCAAGATGTCCTCTGATCTCCCCCTAAATAAATGTAATAGTTTTGTTTCTTTTTTTTTTCAGTTTCTTTTCTTTTTTTATTTATTAAAGATTTCTGCCTCCTCCCCGCCACCGCCTCCCATTTCCCCCCTCCCCCCCACCAAGTCCCCCTCCCTCATCAGCCCAAAGAGCAATCAGGGTTCCTTGCCCTGTAGGAAGTCCAAGGACCACCCACCTCCATCCAGGTATAGAGAGCATAAGCAAGGAACTCAGGACCGCGAGGGGTGTACCCACACACTGAGACAATGGGAATGTTCTATCGGGAACTCACCAAGGCCTGCTGGCCTGGGTCTGAAAAAGCATGGGATAAAACCGGACTCGCTGAACATAGCGGACAATGAGGACTACTGAGAACTCAAGAACAATGGCAATGGGTTTTTGATCCTACTGCATGTACTGGCTTTGTGGGAGCCTAGGCAGTTTGGATGCTCACCTTAATAGTTTTGTTTCTTAATGAGGCCAGAACCTTTTGGATGATGGAGGGTGGTCCTTTGATCAGTCCTAGCCTCCCCTGGCTCTCCCACAGCCTCCCTCTGAACCTCACAGCTAGACTCTGCCCTGCCTTCTCAATGCTTGTCTCTCCTTCTTGGACTGACTCATGCTGGATCATTCTAGAGAAAATGGTGCGTAGCATTCCGTGCCCCTGCTCCTGTGTGAGGCCAGGTGACCAGGCCCCTGCTGAGCTTGCTGTGTCTGAGTGCTGTCTCTTCTTCCACACGGATTGAGATTGTCCCAGAGACTTGCATTTTCCAAGGACGCCGCCTGCACTTCCCACAGCAACTGCCAGTCTCTTCGCCTGAAAATGCTTCCCGGTGTTAATAAGTAACAGAAGGTTTTGTTTAGCCGAACACTTTTCCTGTTTTAAATCCCACACACCAAGCCCACTGCCCCAGGACTGTCCCTGGATTCCTCATGGCTGGATGGGAGCCCAGCACGCTGTTTAAAGAAGAATCCTTTTCACTTTGTATAATAAGTTGATTTTCTGTAAAAGCTTCAATTACACTTCTCATAGGCAGTGAATTAGAGACTTAATTTGAGTCTCACCCTGCTTAGTGGGGCACTCAGACATGGGGTAGAGGAGGGAGGGGGCAAAGCGGCTGAGGAGTGTGGAGTAGAAGAGTCTTTGTCCTGGTCAGAACACACCCGAAGCCTGGGGTTGTCCTAACTTGAGGTCAGAATGGCTAGGAGGAAGGACATGTTACCAAGGTCCAGAAAGGATGCTCCCACAGCTAGTGATGTCAGGAAAAGATATGCTTAGTTGTGTCATTCATTACTCCTTGGGGTTGCTGTAAGTCTATAAAGTCTGTATGTTGTATAGCTCCTGGTACCCACAGGCTGATGATACCCACAGGCTACAGCTCATTAAGAGAGGCTGAATGGTGTCCCCCACCCAAGATTCACCACCCTCCTAATCTTTGGGCACACACTTTGTAGGTGTGTCAGGGAAATAGGTCCCTACAGGTGTGATTTTTTTGCAGGTGTAATGAATGTTTTTGGTAAGATGGATCCAGGGAGGCAAGGTTCAGATACAGAGGTTGGGATGAAATGTCTGGCTAGGATATAATCAAAGCTAGCAGCCAGAAAGGCAAGGAAAGGACCAAGTCTCTTCTGGAGCCTCCTGACAGGACATAAAGATGCTCCTGAAGACTTGTTTTGGATTGTGGCCTCCTGAGCCAGGGGGTGGTAAACTGTTCTTTTACG